AATTATCGATATGCCATACGATATTCTATTAATATTAATGAAAATACATTAATAACATGCCGGTATGTTTTGTTATTTACAATGACATTGGAACATGATAGATCGACAGATCGGACGTATGTTTTGTTGTTTACAATGACATCGGCACATGACATATTGACAAATCGGACATCCTGTATAGAACCGGACTAAACCCATCAATACCATTGCTTTTTATATAAAAATGGTAATAAACTTAAATTATCATGGCAATAGCTATTTGTGTTGGTGGCATTGATTCCCCACTTTGTTAGAGAAGGAAGACCTTAACTCAAATATTATGAACAAATTGTTGTTGAACAAGTCTCGAAATCCCATTTATTGCGAGGAGGAGCATGTATTAAGTTTTAAGGACCCATTTATTGCGAGGAGGAGCATGTATTAAGTTTTAAGGACCCAAACAGCGCTCTCTAAATTATCATAAATCACAGTTGAGAAAGCACAAAGAAGACAGAAAAGGAAGTTAAGAATATGAACAAGGAAAGGTCAGTACTAATGAACATAAGTGAAGTAGGAAGAGCTCCTGATCAATCAGAGACAAAAGACCCAAAAAAGGGAGAGCAATTTACATTTTGTTATAGCAAAGAAACCAACAAGAGACTTCCATTAGTTGGATAATAGATCCATAACTGTACATTAATGTCCTCATCAGTTCTACTTGATTAGAAAGAGATCTTAAAAATGTACAAACCTAGAGAAAACTTGGGAAAAAAAAATAAAAAAGAAAGGCTATAGAAGCCATGCTAGGTTTGTGGAATGTCTGTGTTGAGCTAGAGCTGTAATTGAAGTAGTTTAGGAGGAAGAAACAGAAGAAGAATAGTTAATTAGGAGGAAGAAACAGAAGAAGAATAGTTAATCTGACCACCTGGACCAGAGCTTATAGGTGGTTTAGTCAGATTCCTTGATCTTGTAGCCATCATCATAATTGTCTCTTCCTGCATTACATACATAAATACATACAGCCAGGCCCATACGTATAAAAAGAAAGGATGGCAAAGCAAACTATTAACGAGAGAGAGAGAGAGAGAGAGAGAGATTGGTATATTACATTAAATTTCATTTCTCTTTCGGTCTGTGGAGGAAGAGGGTGTTGATTATGATCATCATGAAGTCCCAAACAGTTGAGGCAAGCCTTGATGACTTGTTCAAAGAAAGTGCAGGGGCTGTTGAAACGGGGTCCTTCTCTCTGCTGCTCCTCAGTTGCTGAACTTTCCATATTCTGATGAATTTCCTTTTGGTTTTCTTGCCTCTGCTTCTGCTTCTTTTGTCTACTTCTTCTTCTTCTTCTTGTTCAATTAGTTTGCCTGTTTTGGGGGTCGGTCGTTTGGTGCAGTTATTTCACCTGACACCTTATGTTGTCGGTGAAACACAAAAAGAAACAAAGTATTTCGCAAGAGACACCTGCCACTGTGTTTTAATGCTAAGAATGAGTGAGAGAGTCTTTTCACTTGTGAATTTCCCTTCTTTTGTCTTCCATTTAAATAGGGTTTTTGCTCCTTTTTATGTGGGAAAATTTAGAAACATCATAAAAATTAATACATCAATTTCAATTTGCCAACTTAAAGAAAAACTTCAAAAATATCATCTCGATTTTTGACTGGCCTGGACCGTGACGAACCCTAGGTAAAAGTACTGCAGTAGTTTTCAGATAAAAATAACTAAAACTTTCGAAAAAAGAAGAAATAAAAGAAACTACAACCCTCTACACATGTTAAGATTTCAAAGAAACGGACCCATAACTCACTATTAGCAATATCGATATTGTTTCCAACTTAACAACCCACATATACGGTGTAAGGTTTTATACAAAAGGTCTCGATGTTATTGGTAGTTGAACTATTCATTATATGTCATATTTTATTTTGTTTAATTTCCGATGTGTAACTTCATATTTTTCAGCACTCCCTCTCACATGAAGCCACTCTTTAATGGGCCACATATGCAACCAATTTCACATTGATAACTTTTATTTTTTAATACAGAGTTTTGTTTGATTCAGGCTCACATACTAGACATCCTCGACCACTCCCATGGATTTCAATCAATTGAGATGACATCTCTCTTCAATTTTCTTTAAGGTGGAAAATAGTATTTAACTTATTCATATATCATGTGTTTACCTATGAACAGCACACAACATGACCATCTACTAATGAATCGAACCCGAAAACTCTTACAACATGTGCATGATGTTAGTGCATGTAAATTTCAAAAGATTAGTTCTTAGGTCCCACAATTAGGATCCAAATTTGGTACACCTAATGTTAGTGCGAATTCAAAAGTAAACTCTAACACTACCGTAACTAAAATCATTTTCATTACAGATTTCTATGGTAAAATACAACTAAATTTTCTTTTCAAACAATGTCTGAGTCCTTGGTTCAATGGTCCTCCCCTACAATCTCCTACAATCAATCAAATACCATTCTCAATCAATGTGGTATTTTTACAATTTGGTGAATAAATTGGTGCTGCAGAACAGTACCGGGCTTGGAGATGAGCTCCTACACCTTATATCACCTTACCGTATTCCAATACCATACAATATTTTCTCACACCCCACGAGTCTATAATTGGTTTCACCCCTTACAAGATACAACATAAACTAGGCAACCCTTGGGAGGAGAATTCACGTCAACTTTCTCTTCCTTTTCCTCTTTGTGGAGTTGAAGAACTCTCAGCGGCGAAGTCGAAGCCCAGACACTTAAGAAATGCAAGTCTCGCCAGCCTAAAATAATAGCAAGGGTGGAAATATAGATGGAAAGCTGTAGGGGCCTCCATTTCTAACATGTCCTCTCCTCTCATTATTCTACTTGTGCTTGCTACTATCTCCCCTTTTATGCTTTCTTCTACCTGCCAAGATCTTACAAGCTCACATTTGTGTACGTATAATTATACATTGCCTAATTCTAATTACAACAGCAGGTGTTATCATTAAACATGCTTAACTAGCCAGCAAAAACAATGAACAAAACATTGTCATATGAAATTTTCTATTGGCCTAGAATAAAAATAAATATAATATAAATGAGGTTAAGCAATTTTAGAATGAAAAGGTAATGTGGTTTTTTTTTTTTTTTTTCTAAACAAGGGCAACGAGGGTATTTCAAATTGAAGATGAGAAAACAAAGGGTTCTACCAGAAAAGGAAAAAAAATTGGACTTTGGAGTATGTTAATTGGTACAAGGGTTTTACCACAAAATCACTCAATTTGCACAAAATGGAATTTCCACCAAAAGCAAGTTTCCGATGTGGGAGTTTATATTCTTTTAACATCTTCCACAATCGTTAGAGGGAGGTGCTCTTTACCTTTTATTTTAGACAAATTATGGGCAAATAATTCCGTTATAGATGAAATATGTAAAGAAAAAAGTGCAGGGTCCTAATTAGGCAATTATTGCACAATAATATTAGGTCAATGGACAAGAACTTCTACAAATAAATTTAAAGTGCGTAAGGAAATGCTGCTGAACCCACAATCCACAAACCCAAACCCCACCAATCCCCTATCCCTGCCTTCCAAAGATGACCCAGAAATCGAAAAAAGGGAAACCAAATTTAGAGTCATTGTAGCTTTGCTTTAAAAGATTAAAACAAAAGCACTTGTAACTCAAGCGATTAAAAACAGTCAAGGGTTCAAATCCCCCTCCCCACTATTGCTTTGCTCGTATAAAAAACAAATTGGAAACAAGTACAACTAAAACCAAAACGAACACAAATATAATTAGTGGGATTGGGAATTCAGGAAACTATTTATTCATTTCTTTCTTTCTTTCATTCTTAGATTCTTCTCAACATTTTCCTAGCTGCCAAACACATTGCACATCTAACTACAAACGAAATCGATAAGCAAAAAGGAGAGAGAAATCATGTAAAACAGTAAGAAAACAGAGTGGTGTGAGGAAATCGGTACCTGGGTATTTTGTAAGTGTTGTGTAAAAGCTGTGGTTGAGTTGTTGTGCTTGGGAAGATCATCAGAAACTAAGCGGCTAGTGGAAGAAGATGAAGGCTTGTTGTTGCTGGTGGTGGTGGTGGTGTTGCTGTGGTCATCGAGATCTAAGACTAAGATGCTGAAGCAGAAGAGAAGAATGAGGAGGAGGATCATCACCATCACCTGGATCCATACAAGCCATGGGATTCTGTAGCTTTCTATTGTGAATTCATCCCCAAAATTGTGCATAATCAATATATACGACTTCAAACAGCCAAGATTTAGAAACAGAGAGATGGGTTGGTGAATAAAAAGTCAGAAATTGGTTCCCTTGTGCTGCAGAAAACAAGAAGAAAGAGGTGAGAAATTGGTCAGAGAGAGAGAAGGAGAGAGAGAGAGAGAGAGAGAGAGGAGTTTGAGTAAAGAAAGGGAAACGGAAGGTGATGAAAGGGTAATAAATAAACATATTTACTTATTTATGAAGGTGCAGCTGAGAAAGATAACAGAAGTTTGAATCTTGCACGCACCAATTGACGCGCCTAAGAAAGCTGTGGAGTTATTATTTATGAGATCTATGGCAGTATCTATCTAAGGATGGTGGCTCTGGGAAGGGAAATCATCCACAAATGTAAACATTTTACAGAATATGCTTTTGAATATTTCATGATCGTGAAAAACTTCATTTTAAAAAGAAAAAGCTACGTTACTGTGAACAGTAGAAAATAATATTACACTATTTATCTTTGAGAATTTGATATTCGCACTCGTACACTGTCATCATATACTTTTTTTTTTTTAACGTATAATTATTAATAGAGTGAGGAGTGGACGGTGAATATTTTTTTTATTTTTTTATTTTATGAAAAGAAGTTTAGGGGGAGATTGGCTACTCTCACCACCAACGTTAGGGCAGACCCACAACCTCGAGCTGGAAGAATTTACGCATGGCACCCAACTGCCAGTTGTTAAATATCAGAGAGACGGGTCAATGCCTCACTACTAATAACACTGATATTGTCTCTAACTTAACAACCTACAAAGCCTAGTAGGTGTGAGGGTTTTATCACAAAAGGCCTCAGTAATATTAGTAGTGGAACTATTCATTATATATTGTATTTTATTTAGTCAAGTTTCCGATATGGGACTTATATTTCTCAACACCAGCTGCCACAAGTATGGATTTATGTAGGAAATTATAGATCGCACACCAACGAGGAGATAATGAATATTTTGGAGTGCCAATAACAACTCTCTTATCTTCGCATAAATAAATAAAAACTATTATCTTTTCATCATCTAAATAATCTTTAATAGGTTCCATTTTTTTGTAGGTTTGATATGAATTTATTACCTTTGATTTACTTCCATATTGTGAACCAATGTAATTTTTTGTTTATGTAAATGTCATGCAAAATCTTAGAAACTCTAAGAGATAAAAGTTTTAGCCATCGATCTCTTTGGGGGGATCAGTGGCCTCCATGCCTCTCCTCCTCCCCTTTCCTTCCCCTTCTTACCCTCCCAAATCTTCCCATCCCATCAATCTCTTTGATGACGATATGATGGGATGCGAATCTGTTCGTCTCCGTCCTCCCTGGGTTTGCTGCGGGCCTGATCTGAGCGGTGGTGGTGATAGGGCGTTTTGTTTGTTGTTTTAGTTATAATAAGTGCAACAATTCTTTGAGAGATTGTCAAATGGTCTCTCTTCGGGAGAGCTTCCGTGTCTTGGTGCATTTTTCAACTTTTCTAGAAAAGTCGCTAAAGTAAAGCCATCTGACATTGGTTTGATGCTAGATTCGAGCCCTTAGGGCTGTGAGTGGGGGAGTACCATAGCTATAATTATCTTTTGTATCTCATTAACAGGGGGTGTACTGTAGCGTGATTATCTTTTGTATCCCATTGAAACCTATATTGGGTTTTTATTTGGGTCTGACTATGGGTTCAAGTGATTAGTTGCATGTGTGGCTATTGTAATCGAGTCTTTAAGCTTTTATTAATGAGATTTCTATCATTTGAAAAAAAATGTCATGCAAAACCTTCAATATTTAATGACTATCTACTCTATAAGTCTAAAAAATATTTACTCCCATAGAGTATCCATTTGAGCAAGTTTTCAAGTTCATAGACGACAGATGAGGAAATTTAAAAGTACTAAGCAATTCATAACAATGGGGTCTAGCCTAGTGGAAAATGGCCTTGACCTACATAATAGTGATCTCAAGTTGTTCTTTGTAATAATATTTATGCCCACACCTAACCGCCCAACCAACCAACATCCTAAACACCTATAAACCCCAGAATCTATGAGTAGGATCAAATAGAGTTCGGCAACTTTTTCTTTTCCTTTCTGACCAAACACCGACAGACACGAGAGCAGAGCGTGACTATCACATGCTATGCAGAAACGTGGGACTGGTTGTTGAGGAGCCGAAAATCAAAAGGTCAAATCTGAAGCGTCGGATCGTTTTCAATCTTACGTCATGTTCCATCAAAACAACATTATTTCCAAGGGCAAATAAAGAGTACAGAGACAAATAGAAAATAAAAATAATAATATATATGGTTGGGCGGGCAACAGAAAAGAAGACAAGGTCGCAAGGACAGGGACAGCGGGGCTCCTGTAGGAAAGGACGTCTGTTAGGTGCGGGTTCGTCGGAATATGTTAAGTTTTGCTTAGGTGTCGATGGGCCCCACTCAACACAACGTGGTCTGGGGAGGCCGCTTTTTATACATTCGAAGCATCACCCTCCCAATTCCAAACATGTGATTTATCAAACTCCACGACCCTCCTTTTTCATCCCGACGAAGAAGAAAAGAAAAAAAGAAGTCCCATTTCTTCATTTTATGTTATTTATCTGCAGTGAAAAGTGTGCGTTTCTTTGTCCGTGGGAGGTTTTATTTATCTGCATAAACAAATGTTCCTCACTCCGACCCAAAAACAAAAAACAAATGTCCCTCACAAGACGCAGACGCCTTTGTTTTAACCTTTTTGGTGCGCTATGAGACCATGTGGGTTTCTTTTAGAGATACTCTGGCTTTTATGGTCGGTAGAGTTGTTAACGCGGATCAACTTATACCTGATCTAATTCAAAGGAATTTTAAATATAAAAAAACCCAAACTGATATGATAATCTGAGAAATCCTTCACAATTGGATCCATATTCGAATTGTTTTTTTTATTCATATCCGAATTCTTGAATTATCGAATATCGGATTCAATAATCTAATCTGAATTCTTTTATCTCATAAATTAACCAAACTAACACAAACTATATATCATCTTCCTCTTGCATTTCTTGTGTTGGAGAACCAAAATCATATCCTGAAAAAAATGAAAATAACAACTATATAGAGGATATAGGAGAGATGAGAGGGAAGAATGAGACAAAGAGAAGAGACAGAAGATAAGAAAAGGTGAGAAGAAGAAGAAAAAAGAAAAAGAAAGAGTATTTGAGTGAACGAGAGAGGAAGAAGATGTGGTCTGCTTTACCAAAAAAAAATAAAATAAAAAGATGAGGTTTGAGAGAAGGAGAGGGGAAGAAGATGATGAGTTATCAAGGAGAGATTAGATTGAGAAACATGGCCTACGTCCACTGTAAAAGTTCCAAAATTTATCTATAAAGAAAATAACATTAAAAAAATAGAACGATAGTATTTCTATTTATAATTCATGGCAAAACCAACGATACAAGTTATAATTGTCCATTCGAATATTAGGACTATAATCCGTCATTCGAGTTCTTAGTTGAGGGTTTGCCTGAAGATTAGCCAATATCTTATCTATCTCAATCGATCTTGCACTCGAACTACCAGAATTAGGAGGAGACGGACTATCCACATATATATATTTTAAGAATCGTTCCATAATTCTACACATCAATTAATTCAATCCATCAATAATTTTTTATCCAAATTATCATATAAATATGAAAATATCAATATTATCATACCAATCAAAACAAAACATTATTAATAAATAAAGATATTAACAAAACATTACTAAGGGTCTTTCTACTCCTCTGTTCTAGCAGCATTGTTCCAATCTTATGCTTGGCTCCTCCAAGCATGCGATTGAGGGGGATGTAAAGATATCAATGGTCCTAATGCTGCCACGTGTAAGAAGATTGAAGAATAAAGCTGTTGAGATTTTGTTAGACCTGTTAGGCAGTTTAGGAAAACTGTTAGTATTGATAAGAGAAGGTTAGAGAAGTTAGAGAGGTTATAAAACACGTGAACAAGGCTTTAACTCAGCTGATATAAAGTCTGTAATTGTGCTCAGTTGAGCTTAATAAGAAATACAACAAGTCTCTTCTCTATCTCTGAAATTCTCTCTGCTCTTTTTCTTTTCAGTCTTCCTATCTTAACACAATCGACCACATATGATTCACCAAACAAACGGTTCTTTTTTTTTTTGGGTGCGGGTTGCTTTCGGTGTTCAAAAAGACGACATCAGATTTTGGACAGATCTACAATGTCAATGGAGATAAGAATGCGCGACAATGATGAGAGAGAGATGAAGAGGAAGTATCAGGAGAGAGAAGAGTGAGATCTATAGTTGCGAGAGAGATGATAAGATTTAAGCCCAGCCAATATAGTAAAGAAACATGAAAAGGGCGAGTTATATATATATATAAGTGCAGTCGGTTTGATTCAGTTGAACTATCGCATTTAAATTTTAAACTGCGGATTGGTCCAGTTCCATTTAGCACCAATCATCGAAAGAAAAAAAAAACCATAAGAAAAAAAAGGAAACCAGACAAGCCAGTTCGGCCCATTTTTAGTGAACATTCTCATCCCTACTTTAAGCTATGACTATGTGTCATAACCCCTTGTATCTAGTGTCATCATTCTACCTTGTTAATTCAATTGGAGCCCTTATATTTTTGTTAAACATCTGACTGCCTATGTGTCTGATTGTGAATTTTTTGTAGTCAAATTTGGAACTACCTTATCATGTCATTAGAATTAAGCATTAAGTTATGCTAACGGGTTCTAACCCAGTGAAAAAGGGCTTTAATTCGCAGGCTAATGGTCTTAGGTTGGAACTCCCCCATGACACCATGATAGTGTGTGTGTGAGAAACTCCCCTCCCAAAAAAAACATTAAGCTATAACTTGTCACCTATATGTCGATTATTGGCATGCCTTTCTATAAATTTTATCATTTTATACTATGCATTGTATGTTGCATGTTTGATAGGGCAGCCAATTGTAGCTTACTCTGCAAATGGCACAGCTTAGGTTTAAGGATTTTTTTAGATAGAGAGTTGTGAAACCATGGGTTTCAATCCCGCTCTTTTGGTATTTAGATTTTTAAAGTTTTTGTTTATATTTTTAATTGAATTTTAAAATTATGTAGTGATAAATTCACTAAAATGTCTATGCTACATCATCAAGTTAACGGTAGTTTTCACAAAGTTGACAGAATTAGGTAATGGGAGACGTGGAGTGAAAATGTAATGGACAAA